TCGCTCTGTAATTTTCAATTGAAAATACGGGTACTTTACACTTTACCGCGTAAAATTTCCCCAAAAAGTTAATGTGACATTTCAGACTTTTACTTTGGAAGTGTTCCATGTTGTTGTATTAAAGTGTTGGAAAATGCCGCCAAATAAACGTCAACATTATACAAGATTTCCAGTCGGTAAATATACGACTGAACTGAAAAAGAAACAAGAAGAGCTCACACAAAAACTAGTGGCTGAAAACAAAAAGCTTAAAGGGAAGCAAGCAAAATTGAAACGTCTTCAAAGTAAAGTGAGTCAACAAACTATTAAATTGTTGCTTTCCAGTACTTGAAGTCTCATGTGTAGGTTTTGTTTTCAAAGACTAATAGTATTGCTTTTGTGTTGCATAGGTGAGAACTGCAGATGAAGATATTCAAGAGAGAATAAAAAAGGTATTTATTTGCATTGGATTAAATGTGTTACAGACATGATCCCGGCATTATAAATCCCACTCAGTGTTTATATGATCCGGCTTCTATCCCCAAATGCTGAGATCCCCACTAGACGGGATGAGAAATTCCCATATAAACCCTTCAATCTGCCTAGCTGGGACGAGAAATCAGAAATATAAGGCTAGGCGGGACCTTTCAACCTTTGCCTTCTTAGCATGCTTGATATGATGTGAAGCATTTAACTTACTTCATCTCGGCAATATTTTTAGTCGTGTTTACACTAACAGTCTTGGCCTTGCCTTGGCCTACATTTTGACAGTGTAAACAGATTTTGACCTAGCCTTGGCCTGACCTAGGCCAGGAAACCTGGGCCTACTACAACCGGTGGCCTAGGCTTGTGGAAATGTAAATACTTTCGGCCCTGGCCTGGGCCTTATTTTCATGGCAATGTGTGTGCACAGTGAGGGTGTAACCAACACTTTATGTAATATTGAGGGTACAATATTAACCAGCCTTCCTCTAACCATCCTACTACACTGTATTTGTTAATTAGACAGCAATCTTTTGGAGAATCCCCCTTTGCCCACTCTACTGCTGCATGCTTTAAGGGAGGCGGGTAGTCCAATAATGGCTGACTGCTGCAATTGTTACTGAATTTAGATAAACAAGTGGCTACAGTATCTAATTATTCAAAGTATTTTCCCCAGGCTAGGGGCTGAACAATATATGTTTTCCAAAATGCCTGTTATATTACACATTTTAGAAAAAGAACTCAGAAAAAGGATTCTTCACTTTGTCTTTCACTGAAAAACGACTACAGTCTCCTACCGCTCTCAACGAGAAAGGAAATATAAATGGTCCTGAGAGAACGGCCAGAAGAAAGATACAAGAAACCAGTGAAGTAGCAATGAAAATCCATGGAGGAACTCCAAGTAATATGCAACCTGCTTACTTTGGTCTTTTTGCAACCCTATCTAATGGGGCTTCAGCTAGCACACTAACTGATATGTTTTACAAATCACCTACTGTAATGACAAAAGTTATTCCTAATGTTGTAAATGAAAAGGTCAAGGCTTTTGAAAATTCTAAAACCAATTTTGTTAGAAGCGTAAACGTGCTTTACAGGAATGGCCTTGTAAGCAAGGAGAAATACATTAGCATTAGGTCAGCATTAAGCATGAATAATAAAGAAAATAGTAATTCTAAGTCGCACACAGAATTTATGTCAAACTGTAATGTTCCACGCATACTTCCGTACAAGGAATTGATGTATAAGATCAAGGGCATAGATATAGGTAATTTGTATGACCTCAACGAACAGTTTTGTACCGGTCTAGGCAATGATGACCATATAGAAGGTAAGTACAGGGATTTAACCGAGTTGCTTTTAAGGTTGGCCCAGTTTTACTTGAAAGTCAATGAACACAGACTTGATAAGCTTATTTGGTATAACAATAAGCAAGCAGGTCACTTCAATGTTGCCATTGGGGGTGACGGTGCTCCCTTTGGTAAGGATGACTCGGCATTGGCTTGGTTGGTGAGTTTTCTTAATTGCGGTCATAGAATTTCTAGCCGCAATGAGAACTTTCTTCTTCTAGGGGCAAATTGCTCAGAGGATTGTGAAGCTATTAGACGCTATGTTCTAAAGCTATCGCAAGACATCAAAGAAATCGAAAAGAAAACATACTCGGTTTCGGTTGATGGTCAATTATGGAATGTATCTTTCTCCTTTGACATGTTTCCAAACGACATGAAATACATAGCTTTTCTTGCTGGAGAGCTTTCAATTTCTGCAACATATTTCTCACCTTTCGCAAACGTTAAAAAAGCTGATATATGTGATACAAAATCTACTTTCGGGGTTGAGCCTTCACATAAGTGGAAGCCTTGGACCTACCAAGCAAGGATCAAGGTTGCATCAGCTGTTGCAAAAAAGAAACAAGAACTTTCACATTCCTCTCTGAAACCGACTACTTTTAGAAATAAGGTAACAACATTCATTGCCAAGAAAGGGTCTCGGACAGAATTTCCACCTCTGCTGGGTGAAGCGATTGACCGAGTAAAGGCTGAACCACTCCACCTTAAGAATAATGCATGGCAACAATGGCATGCATTGATTCTGAAATATGCCATAGCTCGAACCAATTTAAGTGGTTGTGAGAATGTTAGTGATACCCCTCTTTCAAGCTGCTTTAACCAGTACTATGAAGCTCTGAAGTGTGTCTTAAAAGCCACAAGACTTGCCAAAAAGGTCAGAAAGTGGTTTTGCGATGGGCACCTACACAACAAAGACCTTTCTTACAGATTTACAGGTAAGGAATCCAAAATAATGAGCAACAACTTCATGAAACTCATTAATTCTCTCAGTTTAAATGATGATCAATCTACTCATATATTTAAATTGCACATATTTGCAATTATTGCTGTTAACCTGAGGGATGCTGTTTCTCTATTCAGTAGAATTAATATTACTGATGAAGAGGTTATATTGCTGAAAAAGGTATCAGGTAAGTATTTTAGGGCTTGTGCATTATTTGCATCTGTCACACCAACCACTTGGACCATCGGTCATGTTGTTCCAACTCACACACACCAAGCTAAGCAACAACTGGGCTATGGGCTCGGTATGAATAGTATGGAAGGTCGAGAGGCGAAACATGTTTCGCTTGCTAAGTTTGCACGTAACACTCACCACTCGACTCGTTGGTTGCAGGTGTTCAGACATGAATATATCTCCCTTCTTTGGCTAAGAGAGAATGGCTGTGATTCAGCCAAATATACAACTACTAGGAACAAATACATCCCTGCAAGATGCTACACTGCACAGTTTTGTCATTGTGGGCAACCGAAGGTAAGTGAACAGCCAAAATGTGACTTTTGCAGTCATTCAGTTCATCAAATTATTTATGATTCCATCGATCAAGGTAAGTTTACAGCTGAGGCTAGGAAATTGGGTTATTGCGCATTATAAACCTATATAGCTAATTTTATCAATAAAAGCTTTTTTCAAGCTAGTTATACCTATTTAAAAGATAATTTGTTAATATAATTTTATATATTTGTAATATTGTGCAAAATTTAGCTGTTTTTAACTATTTATTGAAATGGAACTTTTGTATTTTTAACAAAAATATTAAAAACTAGAACAAAAATATGTAATGTATGTTATAATACATCCACTTGTATTTTATGCTATTAAATATTTTACAAACTGATGTTAACAGTTTCAATATTTGATGTCATCAATATATGGTTGTGCCTTTGACAGCCTGCATGCACAGATTTAGATGGTTAAAATCACGATAGTCTGAATAGTAGGGATGGGCAATACCAGCATTCTTAACTCGATAGGGTACCACGTACGATACCACACATTTTGCCTATACATTTTGGGGTTTATTGGGATTTAGCAACAAAAGTTGAACGAGGGGTTGGCAATGTTTTGATTCGAAAGCGTGATGTAAATCAGCATATTAACACCAATGTAATATGTTCAATCAGCTGAATTGTATAATTCTAAGTAGAGCTCTAAGGGCCTGTTCATATGATCCCGCTTACCCGGACGTCTCGCTTACCGATAATCTCGCCGCCTAGTTATTTTCCTACAAAATTTTGCATTGTGTTCATATGAGAAAGCGAGCTGGCCCGCTTTCCGAGATCTCGCTTGAATTTGCCGAGATCATAGATAGGCGGGATGAAATATTTTCCACATGAACACGCCAGCCCGCTTACCGGGATGAAGTCAAACAAGTCTTACCATTTAATTTAACACTTTCTACTTTGTTTTATGTTTGTTTTGTAAACAAGTATTAAATATGCACCTAAAGCAATACTTTTTCTCGTAAATAAACAAAGAAAAACACTAAAATCGCTAAATATTTGTGTTGTTGACTGAAATGTAGAAGTTTTGCATACGCTAATTATAGAACTACATTGTAATTTCATCTCGGCAAGCGAGACGAAATACTCCATATGAACGCACAGAAATATTCGTCTCTCTAGGCAAGACGTCTCGGTAAGTGGGATTATATGAACAGCCCCTACTGCATCAGTCAATTTCATACTCCCGACCCCACACCTCAGTGAATACCGGGGGAATTCAATTTGTAGTATGTAAAATTCAATGATAGTATACCCATTTTCTCCCGGTTTATGCGTGAGGGAGGGTCGCAAGGTTTCAAATGACTGGTGCATAATTAGTTAGCCGAGAAAATCCAAATCTTGTTTTGAGACTGTGAAACTTGCATTGCAGCTCATTGGCTAAGATAAATCCTGTCGACAACCCCACATAAACAGACAGGTATTTATCGAGCATCAAACCATTATTAGTCTGCTAGAAACGTTAAATTCAACCATACATTTAAACGAAACCAGTCCACTTATAGTCTTACACATGTTGTGGCCAGTCATATTGATTCCACATTCCATAATAGAAATCAAATGTTATTTCTTCTTTCTCCAAGAAATGAGTTATACCAAATTGTTTCTCTGTGTTTATAACAGCTTCTACTTTCCCCTTCCCTTTTGCCAACCTTTTGAGAAAATCTTTTTTTAGGATTTTGTAGTCCATTAACTCGCAAAAAACATTCCTAACCCTGGCATCGTTAGAGAAAGCAATCGTAATGCGTTTTTCTTTGTTGACATACAGATAACTCCATACGAGCTTCGTGCAATGATTTGTTGCATGATATTGAATAGATCTATACTGAGGTACTCGGAAAATGTAACTCTCCAAGGATTTCGTACTCCACATTTAGCAATCATTCTTCTCATAAATGTTTTATACCAACGTTGTGCAATGCGGGAAAGCATGGGAAATGCTTTCACAACTGTGAATTTCTGTCCTTCGCCGTATTTTCCCAAATATTTCTTAGCTGCCAAAGGAATAAGTCTCTTTAACTCGTCTATGGCATCCTTTGTCGACCAAAAGTCTAAACCAGATTTTATTAGATTGTTTTTTGACGAATCTAAACCTCTCAGAAGTACAGTTTCGAACATGTCTTGTCGCACAAGCTCAGCCATTTTCAAAACACTTCCCACTTAGCCTGCGAACAGGCTTTTCCGGCCCGCATTAAAAGCCTACTAATGAGGCCGCTGCACAAGCAGATCGTGGTAAAGATATGGCCGGAAATTGGGAAAAAATCCCCAGCGTGTAAATAGAGTAATACTAATACCTGTAATAACATTTTATACCTTTTTTAGAAGTTCTTTTATAGTATGTAATATATGTAAAATTTTGTTTTTGTGCCTTAATTTAGCAACGGCCCCTTGAAAATCAGTCGTATTTCACTGAAGGGCCTACCGTTGTAAAATAAGATTAAATAATAAAAAAATAAATAATAATAAAAAAATAAATACTTGATATTTATGATACAATATTCTGCCAGTTGCCTACAATCAGTGACAAAAGGTTTTTGGACAGTGATATAATATATACATATCTCCGCATTTCCAAATACTGTTCAGCATAAAACCACTATCTCTCCCTCCCCCACCCTAAACAAGGAACATTTTGCGCAAGTATTTCCACACACAACATTGAACAGGGGGGCGATTATGTTGTAAATGTACGCTCTTTTGCTATTTTGTCCAAAGTGTTTTGTCGCTGATTGTAGTTCAATGTTTTCTCTGAGCTTCTTTTTCTCTTTCTCCCATTTGTTCCTTTTCCTTTTCTTCCAGTTCTCGTAGCCGTGTACGTTCGTTTCCTCAGCCTCCAACTTTTTACTCTCACGTTCTCGCTGTCTTTCCTCTCCCTCTTTATCGACTCGCCGTTTCTCTTCGTCTTGTCGTTCTTTCACAAAAGCCAACAACTCTTTGCCTTCAAAGCCAAACTCTTTCCCCAGTGCAATAAGCTTTTTCATGCCCAATTTTAAATGTCAAAATACACAGTCTTTTCAACACACACAGATCACGCTGTCCTCTGGCCAATAATTGTCTGGAACACTACAATATCCACAATAAGCCACGCGGCAATATGATTAATTACCTTCCAAACCAAAAATCAATGTTACCCACTGGCAGATATTTATCCACGATTCTATGTTAATATACACGATAAATCCAAAATCTCTTCACAACCAACGATTAAGGTTGCCCTCTGGCAAATTATAATTATCCACAATAAGAAAATGTTTACAAGGAACAAATAATGTCTCCCAATTACTCTCCGGCGAATAAATTATCCACGAAAACTGATCGACAGTTTACTTTCGTTTTGAAATAAACAACACATGCAATTTCCACCAAAAACTTTCGCCAATTGACCGGTTTCCCGCCTGAGCCCCCAGTTGTCACGGAATTCTTGAGAAACTGATTTTGGTCACATTACAGGACAATTACTGAACTCATGAACATTTAGTGATTTTTTTTAAGTGGGCCATCTTGGTTCTTCCCCGTTTTTCACCCCCCGCAGAGCTACACAGCTCCCCCTTTAGTTTTAAAACTAAAGATTTGTATCAGACAAGCGACAAGTGTAAAAACGATTTCTATTGTCTAAGAAGTCACGACACAAATCTATATATCACTCCCAAAACCAAAGACTAATTTCCTAAAAAGACGTTTTCCGTATAAAGCGGCAAAGTCGTGGAACGAATTATCGAGTGACATATAACCAACAATTACCGAGAGCTATCAATCAATCCTTTTAAAGGACATTGGCAACCATAATTTTTATTAATTATATCTATTAGGTATACTTACGGAATATTTAATTTCATATTTTGTAAATGTAAATGTTCATATTAATATTTTGTTATTTCCTTTGTAATACTTAACAAATATAAAACATTTTCCGTGTTGATATACAGTTATATTAATACGAGTGGAAGTTGGGAAAACGAGAATTTCGAGTTTTCCCAATTTCCACGAGTGTTGATATAACTATATATCAATACGGAAAAAGTGTTTTATATTTGTTTTATAATATGGCACAAAGAAATATAAAGAAGGAAATTTTCCGACGTTTCCGTGTTGACATTGAATTATATCAACACGGCTCTTAGCCAAGTAGCGTTCAGAATTTACAAATGTTATATCATATAAATTATATTGTAATACCATTTTGTATATACACGGCCCTTTTAAAATCAGTATTGTATATAGTAGAATGTTACCACTGCTTCTAGTTTCCAACTGGACAAATAGTTCAGCATACAATATAGATCGTGGTTCTCGGTGTTTTGGTGTAATTCTAGCAAACGAATCGACGAACATAGAATCTGGATCTCTTTCCATTTGTTGTAAATGTTCGAGTAAATTTACATCAGCGATTGAATTCATTCCACGAAGTTAAAAATGGCGCTTGTATAGGAGGGAACAACATTTTTGAGTAAAACAACAATGAAAAGTAATGCTTACCTGGGATTTTCAAACGCTTATCTTCCCTGTGAATGTTTTCTGACAATATAAACTCTTCAAACGCTATCGCTTTGGTTTTTCGGCGAAAACAAAATATATTTTTGCAAGGGGAAGATTTCTCGAAGACGACGTAGGGCCCATTACACGAAGAAACATGATATATAATTGCCAAACAGTTACACTTTGGTTTAACGTAGATATCTCAAGTAAAAATGGCCTTCTTCGTTGATTTTCCCTTGTTTTCTAGGTTATTTTTTACTGTTTTGAATAAAATTCCCGCCTATTTGCAAAATTCGAGTCCACAATCGTGTTAAAAATGCTTGTCAGCGGTCGTTAATCGCTACTTACTTTATGTAATTTTGTGTTTAAAACGCCCCGCGCAAGCCCTAACCACGTGATTAGTTAATTATCCGACAAACTATATGTTTTGTGCAACGCAATTAAGTCGTGTAGTTAACTAAACATAGTTAATTAAAGTATAACTACAGTGATTAACGCTAATCGTAGTTAAAGTTAATGAAGTTCTTATACAACCAGCCCCAGTAAGCCAATCTGCATAAGTGTCTCGGTTTTGGGCTCGAACCCCCTTAACTGCTGACCCCTTTAATCTTTAATCTTTAATAAAATTTCTTTTAACACGGTAGCCTATTCAGTATAACATATACAGTCTGTTTTTCAAACGTTTCAAACGATTGTCCTGTGATAACCCGAGCTGCTCTTCTTTGTAACTTAGAGAGTTTGTTAAGAATGCTATTAGATCCATCATTCCATATTGTTGAGCAATATGTCAGGTGAGGAGATACCAGAGCATTATACATTTTGATTAGAATGTGTAAAGGAACAAAGGACTTGGCTCTTCTTAGTAATGCAATATTTTTTGAGATTTGTTTACATTGTGTGTCAATGTGTATACCCCACTTTAATTGATCGTCGATGATAAAACCAAGAGATTTTTTGTTCGTGACCCGTTTAATATTATTATCTCGTATAGCTAATGAAATCTCTGGGTTGTCTTCAAATTTAGTAAGATGATGTCAGAGCCAATTATCATAAATTCCGTCCAAAAGAAGAAAAAATTTGTCAAAAGGCCATGTACGCGTGTTCACCATCCTCAAGAAAAAGTTGATGTAATCTACTATTTAGAATTTGAACCCGATATTGGCAATTTCAGTAAAGCCTATATTTTACACAAACGCGAATTACAATTTCATGCTTATTAATTTTCTCTGTCATCTGGGAATGAAGTAATCTAATTTTATGCCAGTGTAAAGTAATCTAATTTTATGCCAGGGCATAAACAACAATAACTTTCATCATTTGAATAGTTTGAAAATGTATTTGAAATAGGTTTACCTTAATGTTTACGTTCCCTGATTAAAAAATAGAAAACATACGAGTCTTCTCATTTCATGGGAATATCCTGAGTCTGCAATCACGGCTTCAATTTTTGAATTGCAGAATAATTAGATGCACTATCTAGTGTTTATAATATATCATGGTTTAAATATACCAAAAATTGTCGCGGAAAAATGGCAATTTCCGTACGGCCTACTTTCACGCAAACACGACATACAATTGCCCACTTTGATGATTATTTTTCTTTGTTATCTCGGTATGTATTGATCTCATTTTATGCCACTGTAATGTGCTATACGGGCTTATCGCTTTAAATATACTTAAAAATAATGTGCTTATCGCTTTAAATATACTTAAAATTGGTGATAAAGTACAACAGTTCCTGTACGTTAAGTTTAACGCAAACGCGAATTACAATTGGGCCTTTCATACTGAATTTTCTCTGTTATCTGTGTATATAGCAATCTAATTTTATGCCACTGTTAAGCGCTATATTTGAAGGCTTTTCAATGCAGTCGGGTTTAAATATACCTAAAATTCCGTTAAGATATAACAATTTCCATATCACTTAATACCGTACCGATTATGTAGTAACTTTACTAATTTTATGCCACTGTAATGTGCCATGTTTGAAGGTCTTTGAATCCAGTTATCCATTTAAATATACCTAGAGGTTTTCAACGAAATTTTCGGTTTAATTTGAATATACCAAAAATTGTCTGAGGCAAAACGACCGGATACCGATTGATTGATTGATTGACTGCATGCGATTGTTGAAAGGTATCGAATATCGAATTCCTTTTACATTTCGCAGGCCAACGGTTTAGAACAAGTCATTTCAATTGCTCTTTTGTGCTTATCTCACTCTCCGTTTATTTCATCTACTTTTCAAGGTATGTGTGGGGTTCTTTTGCTATTTTCTTTAATATTTATAACAACGTGCAGAGCATTATATTTGATAGTGCGCCGGTCTAATTTCGGCGCGAGCGATCAGCTTAGATCGACATGCCAAAATCTTTTATTGAAATGTTCATTTAACCCTGTCAAACCCTTATAATGTTTAGATCTTTACATTCTTTATACAATGCCGGCAATAAACCTTTTAAAATAATTTTCATATCTCTTTTGTTTGAGAAATTATTAGCCGAAAAATGTATTTCCGTACATCCTACTTTTACGCAAACGCGAATCACAAATTCATGCTTAATTTTCTCTGTTATCTGGGTATGCAGTAAACTAATGTTATGCCACTGGAAAGTGCTATTTTTTAAGGGCTTTTCAATGCAGTCGGGTTTAGATATACCTAAAATTTTCGTTAAGATATGACAATTTCCGTAGCGCTTACTTTACGCAAACTCGAATTACAATTGCAGCTTTCATGCTAAATTTTCTCTGTTATCTGGGTATGTAGTAATTTAATTTTATGCCACTATAATGTGCTATTTTTGAAGGGCTAATTTAGCCCAGTGCGCAATTATCGCTCTAAATATACCTGAAATTTTCGCGTCAAAAACGGAGCTGTCTTGTGGAAATGGAACAGTCTCCCCACTGAACTTTTACGAGTGGTAGACAAATCCCAATCTATTTCTTTTTTTCGTAGCTTGAAACTTTGTAATAGCCTGTAATGTAGTGTCTTAGTTAAATGTTGTAATTCTTTTTTTGAAACACAGTGATTAAATTAAAAGCAAACTATTAAAATAACATAAAGTAACGCATATCATATCGCCGCTGGATGGATCGTGGGCTCTTGTCTTAGAAATGAACGAATCATTCACTTGAAAACTTTACTGGGCAGCCCTGGTATAATCTTCCATTATACTTCAAAATACTCGGCTCAATTTAAAGACCATGTAAAGTCCGTTCTGCGCATACGTTCTGCGCAGGCCTACTGTACATTTCAATGGTCTGGACCACTGAGCTGTATAATAACTGGAGGACCTGCTGCTATACTTCGTTCAGTCAACGAAGTGACCGCAAAAACATGGCGGATTTTGATGAAAAATGACGCCATTTCCATGACAACACTGGCCAGGCTCAATTCTGAGCCCACGGCAGTTTTCACCCCCCCCCCCTGGTTTTTGCAAAACATTTTTGCAAATAATATAGTTCTCGACTTCTGGTTGTTTTGAATCCTTTTTTAAAATGTTTTCGAGATAAACTTTCTGCCTTTGACGATTTGGTCAAAGATATCGAAGTCGTACGTGTTTAAATTCGCCCGTGATTAATTTAAAAACTAATTTTAAAAACTCAAGAAATGTGGGAAAAGACGATACTTGAAATATATGGATTTACACTCGGGATTTAAAAAGGTAAAAACGTATTTTCATATTCAATTTTATTTAGACTTTTATATCTTATTTGACATCTATTATCAGATTATCTTTTAAAAGAGAGAATTAGGTTTTGTGTTATGCACCACTTATGTATAAGCTGGGGGTGCTGGAAGTTGATCTGGGAAGGTAGTTTCTACCTAGCTTTCTTGCATGGTTGGGAATACTTCTTGATTTTTGTGTCATATAAATAGTAATATAGAGGCTTGAGATAAATCACACTTCTCCCTAAGCAGAGGTAATAAGGTTTAGCTGAGGTTGAGGTGTGTGCCAAGGCATACATGTGTGATCCCACCTCATTCCCAGGATGGCCTGTTTTCTTACAGGTTTTCTCAGTAAATATCACTCTGAATAAACAAATATGTACCTTTATAAGTACACTCATAGACTTCGGATTCCCCTGGTTTAAGCTAAAGAGTATGTTAGGTCACATTCTTTTGTTTACCTTGATCATAATGCTATATTGCTATAATTATGTTACTGGTGGATTCTTGTACAACCTGTATAATTTATCTATTTTTATTGCAGATTTATTCCACAATGGCACACTCCTTTCTGGGTGGCAAAATACAGTACCAATTAAGCCACATCTTTGGAAACTGAACATACTGTATTTTAATACATGCTTCCAGTAATTATGTCACCTTGGCTATAGGCTATAGGCTATAGAGTCATTTTCATGATTGAGACATTGGACTAAAACTCATGCCACATACATGAAAACAAGCTCCATAGCCAAAGTGACATACAATCTGGAAGGGTGTATTTGACTTTTTGTACAATTATTAGCAGTAAACAATTTAAAAAACAAAAATGTATAATTTTAATTGCTATAAAACTTATTTACACTTCAATAAAGTTATGATAATCATATAATTATTTATTAATTATAATTAATTGTTATGCATGGTATTGTAATTATAACTTCATTTTGTAATTGTTCTGCATGTTCTTCTGCATGTTGATGCCTGTGCCCTCTCTTTTGTATATTAAACAGATCCAAGACCATCTTCCAAGTTTCTCACTTAGGAAAGTCTTCTTTCTCTGAAAATGGTTATTTTTTCTGTCGTCTGAAAAAAAGGACAACATTAACAAGATACATTATACATCTTTACACCACAAAATATCATATATACATATGTTAACCCTTTAAGTGGCAATGTGTTTTGATATGCCTCACTGTATTATTTTTGTCTTACTGTATTATGTCAGACAATTTTACTAGTCCATTCTAGTCCATTGATCCGAGCTTCTAAATTAAGTGTCATGTTTTCATATTCAGCAATGCAATTACATTCCCAACTAACTGCTAAAATATGTCAAAGTATTATTAGCAAATTTTGTCATAATTTCTCACAGAGCAATCGGACATCACCACTTCCAAACTATGACATCAGATACTGTGTAAGCTACATAGTTTTATATAGTTCTGAACAGACAATGGTAAAATGTTATGTATTTTTAAGACTCTTCCCTTGATGAATAAAACATCTGGATTTAGTCTCACCGATAGAGTAAAATAAAACAGGGACTGTGGAGCCTGTTTAAAGAGGGGCAGGATAGCACGGGAGCTCTTCCACACAGGCAGGCTGTCCAGATTTTATCCGGTAATTTTTATTATCCACTGAAAAAGGGGGGCAAATGCCCCC